CTCTACTTCAAAGGAAACTGGGCAACAAAGTTCGAAGCTGAAGCTACCAGGCAAAGGCCTTTCAGAATAAACATGGTATGGGAATATACTGCCCAACATCCTACACTGCAAGTGGAAAAAACTGAAAAAGATGGGGGAGAAAAATTCCTGTCAGTCTTTAAATCCATGCAGTATGAAAGTTATTTCATTTAAAGCATATTTTATTTTCTTCACCACAAGTTCAGCACAAATACTGCACACACATACTAGCACCTGAGCCGCATGTAAAATTGTCAGGAGCTGACTTGAAACAAGCTTCTATTCTCTGAAGGCAGGGAAAACAAAGAGGTGAACAAAACTGTATGGGTTAGTTCCTTACATTTTAATTTTTAACCATACAACAAATCGCAGTGGAATACAGCTTCCTATAATGGGTGTCATCTGAGACATCTTAGATAGCCTGGCTAGCCTCCAAGTGCATTTCCAGACCAAGGGTCCTGTGCAGATCCTGTTTCCTACTCCTTGGAGCTATAAGGATGTCTCAGACACACTGGGCAGCTTCTACAGTAAATTCAGTAAACCTCCACTGTGGTACTTTAACCAAGTCCTTTACTGTTCAGAGTACAAATGACAAACCTGTAATTTGATTTGTTGCAGCATACAACCAAACCAGTGCCCATGATGTACCTGAGTGATAAATTTAACTGGACCTACGTAGAATCAGTCCAGACTAACGTTCTTGAGCTTCCATATGTCAATAATGACCTCAGCATGTTTATCCTGCTACCAAGTGACATCACTGGCCTACAAAAGGTAAAGCGACTGAGAACACAAATGATCTGAAAAAATAAGAATGTCATTATTTACTTACTTTATGCATGTGCAAAGTAAAAGACCAGGCTGCAGTCATGCTTCTAGGAAGGCAGGTACTAATCAGGCTCAAAGAAAAGAAAATCCCAAACTTGGTCTAGCACTGTGAACTTGAACCTCTTGGAGCTCAGACTAGATTTCTCACTCTTGGCAGCTGGCAATTCTGTGGTTCCTAATGTTGATCGGTCCTGGAAATGGGTAACCCAAACCCCACAAGACTGACTCCTCTTCCAGCTGAACAAAAATGAGGACAGAAAGCCAGCCCTGCTGAGATCCACTGTCTGTACTGACTCAGAAAGCTACTTCATTCCAAAAAAAACCCCAACCACTAACCCGGCAGACTCCATTACTTTCCAGGATGTCCAGAGCTAATACATATGGACACTGCCACCTTCTGTAAAGAGACCAATACTGCCTTTGGATAATAAACTTACTAAATTCTCATTTATGTTAGTTGGTGTTCTGTGGGAAGACAGAATTGTGAGCAGCAAATCAACCAGAGTATGGTTACCTGACACTGATGTTTTTGTTCTACAAATATTTAACCCTGCTATATTCCCAGACAATTAATGAGAACAGTTCAGATACTGCATTGAAGTACCATAGATCAACATACTCCTTTAGTCAAAAATATCTCTAAATCACTCTTTCACTACTGTTTTTCTTGTATTCTTACAACCGCTTGAAAAGTTCTCCATTTAAGAAAAGAGAAGAAACAGCCCTTAGGGCACAGGTTTTTGAACACTCTGTAATTTTCTGATTCTCTTTTTACTGACTGCAGCTAGAAAGAGAATTGACTTTTGAAAACTTGTCTGCCTGGACCAGCCCAGAACTAATGGAGAAAATTAAAATGGAGGTTTATCTGCCCAGGTTCACGTTAGAAGAGAAATATGACCTCAAATCTACTTTGAGCAGGATGGGGATAGAAGATGCCTTCACTGAAGGTCAAGCTGATTTCACAGGAATGTCAGAGAACGGTGATCTGGTTTTGTCACAAGTTTTTCACAAGTGTTATCTGGAAGTCAATGAAGAAGGCACAAAGGCAGCAGCTGCCAGTTCAGCATCACTGGCATCACGAAGTCTTGGTGCTGCTATTATTTTTGTGGCAGATCACCCTTTCCTCTTCTTTATCAGGCACAACAAGACCAAGAGTATCCTCTTCTTGGGAAGGTTGTCTTCCCCCTAGAAACTCAACCATTACTAAACAGGCTCATACAACAGCAATTACGCACCACGAAAAGCATCTCAGTAGTCTGTGCATTCCTTAATTTTCCCATACTGTTGACAAATCTCTCAATGTTGGAAGAGCGCACATATTAAAAATAATCTGGAATTCATGCCTCTGGTTCATTTTCCTGGCCAAAGAAGCTGAAAATGGTAGCACTACCCTATAAGCACCAAACTGTGCACAGAACAAGATTGATTTGTCTTTTCAGCACTTTCTGAACCAGGACTGCAACAATGTGGAACAGACTAAATTGATCTAAAACAGTAATTCCCAACATATTTGCTTTGGTATATAAGAAGAAAAGAAACATGAAAAACCCCTTCCTGCAGAATGATGTTGCATCTCCCTTGGTTTCAGCTCATGCAGCTGGTCACCCCATGAGGGTTACCTCACCCACACTCTTGTCAGTGTTATACCAACTTTGCAGCCTGGCACAGCTGATAATTAAATAAACCTGCAAAATCCTCTGTGTTCCTGATACTGGTGCTTCTTTCTTGCATGCAAAGGGGTTAACACATGTACTTTCTAATCTTTGTCCCACAGCAATTGGAAAATATTAAACAGCAGTATAGAATTGGACAAAAATAAAACATTCTTAAAACCTTCTCCTTTATAACCTTTCCTGCATTCAACACTGTTGCCAGCCCAGCACTGCACGGCTTTACTCTCATTTTGCTTTTCCACTTATTTCACTGGTTTGAGGCAAGATCAAATTGGAGAATCAAGCCTGTAATACTAGCTCCCTAAGTGCTCTCTGGAAGATTACATGCAAATGTCCCAGTACACATTTAGTCCTGTCACAGCTCTTTCTCCTAAGGAGAATGTCCTAACCAGTCATGTGTGTTTGCAGGGGATGCTCCTAACTCTCTGAATTCACAACAGAGAGCAAAGGACTGGGTCTCTTACAGGACTTGGAGACCCTAACAGCATTTTACTAGAAACATCTCTTCTTGGGACGGCAGGACTCCCTTTTCCTGACGAGGGGGTGGGGAGAGACTGCTGACTGTTATTGAGTCCTTTCTGCTTTCTTCCACGTGGCTAGCTGCTTCCAGGGTCCCCTCTGGCTCTGATTCCCAAAATGGGAAGGAGCATAGGAAAAGTATTGTGAAGCAAGTGCTTTATTCTACCCCCAGACAACCTCAACAGCACTGCCTTCTGTTTGTCTCAGCTGTGAAACATGACACAGGATCCCTGTGTGTTCAGGTACAATTCTGCCATGCCCTGCTTCACCTAATGCAAGGGCTTCGTGTCACCATGGCCAAGCCTCTTAAGCACTTCCTGATGCATCTCAGGAATAAAGACAAGAAATCCACACCTGGGAGGCCAAGGAAGAACAAAACCATGACAACATGTACCCAAACTCACTTGCGGGCCTTTAAAGTCAATGGAAAAACGAGTCACCTTTTCTTTCTCCTTTAACCATTTTAAGTATGATTGCAAAGATGACAGAGTTTATGTCCTCTTGGCAATATCTGATCATTACCAAGTGGTAATGGCCACAACACTTGAAGGGTGAAATGTACATTAGGGGATAATCTTTTCCCAGGGTGAGAAGCACAGCACTGGAGAAGGTTGCCCAGAAAGGTTAGGGAATCTCCATCCTTGGAAGGGCTGTGGCTGACCTTATCTACTGATGGTCCTGCTCCACGCAGGAGATTGAACTCTGGATGTCCCTTTCTAGTAATGTGTGATTTTCTCTCTCTTGTCAATATCCATTCTGCCTTGCCACCTCCCTTTCTTATCCTGCCTGTCATCCTTGCAACTTGACTAGCAAAGGGAGCTAGCTTGCTCACTCTCAGCTTACTTCTTTGGGACTTGGAGTCTCCTGGCTTGGGCTTTCCCACCACACCTAACCATTCATCTCACCTTTCCTCTATCCTGATTTCTTGAGGACTTACTCATCATACTAAAACCAACATTTGTTTAGTTTCTGGCATTTCTTCATTGCCTTGCACAACTTTGATTTCTGTCACTTTTTAGAAGACTTGACCCACTCTGTTCCTGTAATCAGGCTTGCAGCAAGATGCTTAGCACACAGTACAATTTCCTTCCCTTTCTCCACCCCCCTTCCCCCATACCCCAGGGTCTTACAGTTGTTTCCAACACCTTCTCCTTCTTCCATCACCCAACAGCAGCCCTGTTCTCTTCTGGGACTGCAAAGTGACAACTACTGTGCCATGTCTGCCACTGCTGTATTTTTCACTCCATCCTTGCTCGAGCCCTCACAGGGGGGTTGTTTCAGTCCTTTCCCTCTTTCACTACATGCAAGTACTGTGCACTAACTCAGTGTTTTGCAGTGTTCCTCTCAAATGATTCCCAGCCATGGTTGCAATGAGATTTCTTCACCAACACAACCAGTGGGGTGTCCCATCCCTTACCCTGCATGGCTTTGCCTGTCTATGCTCCTAATGATCTTCAATCTGAAGCTGGACTCCCAGTACCTAATTCAATTCCTAAGGTTGATGTTTTATGCTGATGTACTGCCTTTGAAACGCAGGAGTCACAGCTGCACAAAGTCAGAGAGGAGAATCTGTCCTGCAATATCTGCTTATATTCAGAAACTAAAAACAAGCATTCTAGTTGTGCAACCCTTTCACTAGTCCTTTATTTTAAACAACAGATCAGTTGTCTCCACAACATCAGAAGACCATTGGAATATGTGAACTGTTCTTCTATCCTGTCAGTAAACTATTATGGTGTAACAATAGAGCTGAGATTTTAGTTTCATTGTTCTTTTGAAATGTCTAAAACTGCAAAGTGACAAGGTCAAGAAAGAGAACAAAATTACCTAAGATCTTTTGGGGATGTGGTAGAAAGTAGCTTTGGGTAGGCGGAAACAACCTGGACATAGTGGAGAAGGAAAGGGAGGTGCAAGCAGTACTATATTTCTACATTTATTCATTGCTTAACACACAAACGCAGAACCTGACCAAGGACAAGACATAAGTCTTCTCTCTCACGGGATCAGAGGTAAATATTTAAATCAATTTATGTAACTTTTCTGATGCTTTTAAAAAGCTATCATCTGCAGCTTGCATGACTGTATAGGTAAATGATAATATACCAGTGCTATAGTGCATTATTCTTGCCTCATGTTTTTCTAGATGTCAACCCTTAGAGAAAATAATTCTGTAAGACTAAGGAAAACTGCTAATTTGGGTCAGAACTGATCACAAGGAGGAAAGTTTTCTGAGGGCAGTAACTCTCTTATTACTTAAAATGTTCAGTTAGATAAAGGATTCCCATACTTCAGGTGATTAAAAGGCCATTTCCATTCTGCAGAGGCACAGCACTGCACATTATCAGGCCAGGGACTGAGAGGAGTATTCATTAGCAGAAAACAGAGAAACCCCCATCCTGATGCTCTCTCTGTTGTGTTCTCCAAGAAAATCACTCTGAGGTACAGATTTGGTACTGTCAGCTCCCTGACTGCCAGAAACAAGTGGCTTGGCAAACAAACACTTGATAAGTACCTGTAGATTTCAGAGATTGCCCCACAATTTCTGTTGCTCCATTCCATAGATATAAATCTTAATAACAATAACAACATTTCTGGTCTCCTGACTGGAAAACAACATGAGGCAGGTACTACTGGGCAGATATCTTAAAGCCTGAAATACTCATAACCTCAAGGAATATGCTCATTTCTGGGGCAAATAAAATTGCTGAGACATATAGAAGGGGTGGTAGGTACACATCATGAATAAAACTCCATCACTCTAAAAGCAAATCACAGCTTTGCTATTCATGATACTACTCAGAATTGGTGGCTGGCCAGGAAAAGCACACGAGTCTAAGAATTATGCCTACATTCTTTCTCATTATCAGCTCTCAATTCTATACAGTTCCAAAATGAAGTAGTGGGAAACCCAGGTGTGTTGTGAACCTATGTACTAAAACTGCATTTAAATTCCCTTGAGAACACGACTTTGATAAACCACTAGTTAAGGACAAAAAGGAAGAAAAAAATGCAGCTTGCAAATCTGCACATTTTTAAAAACCAAAGGCAGAAAGAAACACAAATTAAACCGCAGATGTATAAAAGAGGACCTATGTGCAATTACAGGATAGTATGATCTGGATAACAACAAACTTTAAAGAAATTGCTGCTTCTAACAGGTGGCAAACAGTATCTATGTGGAAGATAAAATAGACAGCTAGGCTATTAGTTTTAGTTGGGGGCTGATGCATTGTGTTGCACGTGTAAGATTTCTCACTAATATGCCCTGTGTACATAATTTTAAACATTCAAACAGTACAAATCTGTCGCCTCTTTCCAGGTTGTAGCAATGGAACAGGTGTCAGCATCAGTTGGCAAATTTACAGTCGATCTTTTCAACAAGCTGAATGAGACCAACAAGGGCAAAAACATTTTCTTTTCCCCTTGGAGCATATCATCTGCTCTGGCTCTGGTGTACCTGGGTACAAAAGGCAATACAGCAGCAGAGATGGCAGAGGTAAGTTGCTCTGTGATGCATACACCCCACAGAATACCTAGCTTCTGTATTGGTTGCAAAATTTAGTGTTAGACAGAAAACTTGCCACCACAATGACAGGAAACCAAGGCAAACCAGAGAGTATAACAAGTAAACAGTAAATTTTATTCATTCCATAGCAGGTCCCCCACTTTTCCACTAAGAGAAAGTGTCCTGTGGTTACCACACACTGAGCAGAGGTCCTCTGACCCTGACTTCTAAACTATTCTACACCTTCTAATTTACCTTGTGATTCTATGATTCTGCCACAGATGGGATATTTCCTTTGAAAAGCAAACAGCTGATGCCAGTAGCTCCTGACTAATCAGCAGGAGCCTTGCAAATCCCAGCACCCTCCCTCTCTCCCCTGGCCAGGATGCATCCTTCTATCTTGATTTATGCTTTCCTAAACAACTGCCTGACAATCCAGCCAGAAAATAGGAAAAGCTTTAGTATCTTCACATCCCCCAGTGCAATCCTTCCTAATGCCACAGGGGCACACTGCTGGCTCAAGGGGAGCTCTGGTGCTCAGCACTGCCCAGCGCTCTCCTGTGTCACTGCACTCCCATTCAGTTGCCTTTGTACCATTATCGGGAGAGCCATTTGGGTTTGTACAAACACATTGTTATTGCTGAGAGCAACTGCTGTGGAAGGGAGTTCAGCCTTGCAGCGTGCAGACAGGAGCACTGCGTTGATGCTCTGGGAGGGGAACAGTGCTACTCTGTTACTCTGTGGGATTTACGAATACTACAGCTTCAGTATCCCTTTGATTAGTCACCTAAGCAGCAGTCTTTGATTAGTCACCTAAGTGAGTTATCATAAAGAGCAAAACAAGACAACCATTTGATCCCCATTTGGCTTTAAGTCACACCAGTTCCTTCATGCCTATTTCTTACCTTTGGAAACTCTGCTTGCAGGTTCTTCATTTCACTCAAGCAGCAGGAGCTGAAGGCTCTTCTGTGGCCAGACCTTCTCGGGGAAGACCAAAGAGAAGAAAAATGGTATGTATTAGGAGTGAAATACCAAGATAAAGATTCTCCAGAAAAAAAATGTCCAGATACAGCTTCAGGAGTCCAGTATTTCTTGTCTGCACCACTCTTTAATGTACAAACCCCAATATACTTCACAACAGGTTCAAGTTCAGTTTCTTTCACTCACTCAGACTCTGAGAAGCATGGAAGGACCAACTAGGCTAGTCTGGAAGGTTTGCTATGTGGAAAATGAGTTATTCTAGTCATAAACAGAGCCCTGCAAATTGCAGTGATGGTAAACTTAGGAAAAATAAAAAGTAAGAGAGAGGAACACAAATCTCTCTCCCACATACATCACTTACCATGTTCTGAAAACTATGCAAAAATGCAATTGCTGAATGCGTTTTTTCTCTTTACAAGGATCCTGAGCACAATCAAACCGAATATATTCATTCTGGCTTCAAAAAGCTCCTGACTGCCATCAACAAACCCAGAAACAGCTACTCACTGAAAAGTGCCAACCGCATTTACATGGAAAAAACCTTCTCATTACTGCCTGTAAGTTAAATCTCAGAAAGGAGTAAGAAAAGATGCAAAAAAAATATTTATCATTTTAATTACTTGCCATTAATAGAACAGGTTTGAAGCTAACCCTAAATACTGCAAACAAGACCTCTGGATTCCAGTGATAAACTTAACTGGAAAATACCAGTCAGTCTGCTCACAGTATTCATGGATGCACTGCCCTTTGTCTACAGTGTAAAGTGAGTATAGTATAGAACTTATTTCTTTTTTTTTGTTGTTATTTTTCAGGAATACATACAGCTCAGTAAGGAATACTACAAAGCAGAGCCACACAAGGTTAACTTTAAGACAGCACCGGAACAATCTAGAAAGGAAATCAACATTTGGGTTGAAAAACAAACTGAGGGTAAGCTGAGCTCAACCCCAACATCTTCCCTCTCCTATTCAGTCAATCTTCCATTTCCTTTAGGCAGGTGCCCTTGCTTCCCCATGTGCTACAGCAGCAGCCAGGTCATGCCTTCTGACCTGGACAGTGAGCAGAGATGTAGTGGGAGGACAGAGAAAGAGCAGCACACTTAAGCAGCTTCAAATATCTGATCCAGACCTCAGCGAGCTCCGTGGGGAAAGTCCCATCATCTCCGCTGTGCTCTGCATCAGCTGGTGCTCGAGCACAACTGCTGCCCTGGCACTGCACTCATGCAGCACAGGCAGAGCAGAGGGGAGAAACCCCTCTGCCTACCAGTGTGCTTGCCATGAAGCTGTGACAGTTCTGGGGGAAGGAGTCAATCCCTGTCAGCTAGTCAGGAGAACCAGGCAGCTAACCGTTTTGGAAACTGTAAACAAACTAATTGATTATGTCAGGGGACTATTTTAGGGACTAGGGCATTGAGGCATGGATTTTTTCACTAAGGAGTTGAACTGAGAAAAAAAAAAATCAAAACATGTCCTCACTGTGTTGCACTGGAATGAAACCTGACTCTTCTGATTTCAAAAGGCAAAATCAAGAATTTGCTGAGTTCACAAGATGTGTTAAACTCCACCAAGCTGGTCCTGGTAAATGCCATTTACTTCAAGGCAGAATGGGAAGAGAAATTTCAGGCAGAAGCTACAGATCTGCAACCGTTCCGGCTGAGTAAGGTAAGCTGCTCCAATATCCTTCTTACTGTAAACAGCCTGGTGACAACAGGTACTGCTGAAATCTTTCCATTTCATAAGTCTTTTAGGTAGTCCTGTGGTAACTAGACTCACTGTGAAAAGCTGGTTACAGCTAAATGTGTCAGTGCTCAGCTCATGGTAACATTAAGATGCTGCTCAGGTAAATGTTAATGAGCTCCAGACAACAGCTACCGTTTCCAAAAGTGCTAGAGTTAGTTAAGGCCTTTTTGTAATCAGTGCTGAAAGGCCTAGATTGTAAAAACATGATTTCCAGAGTCCAAGCTTCATGGACAGAAACTACATGCCTTGTCATGGATGAGTACAGTACCCGGGCCTCTGTGCTACACAGCCTAGCTAAGTGCAAGCATACCTGCTCAAATACAGCTGCAACAGGGTACCCTGAATGGGTGCATGGTAGGGAGAGACTAGAGGAAATGTTAATGGCATGTATCCGGAGGAGATGTCAATGAATTCATTTCAAAAGACAAGAGCTCTGTGCAATTTCCACCAGCTGTAGCTTCTGCCTTCTGATCAACTGCTTCTCTGAGTGAAGGGATGTGGATGTTAAGAGAGGCTACATATTCCTGCAAAGGTGACTGCTAGCCAGGAACTCCCGTCATCATGAGACCCTTTGCTCAGACATTAGTATTATCTTCTGTTAAGAGCTGTGACATGAAAAGCAGTCAGCTAGTTACTTTTTATTGCCAGAGAGAGAAGACCACAGAAAAACTGCACAGCACTCATCCTCTTAAAACCATGGCGGTTTCTCTGCTGTAGTGTTGTAAGGCCATATCCCATACCTGCTTCATCCCCTAATCCTTGCAGACATTTCTAACTCTCTTCGCCTCTCCCCTGTGGGCTGCTGTGCATGTTTTGGGGAGAAGAGAAAAATCAGTTAGTTCAGCCCCCAACAAAATGCTCTATGCCAAACACCAAGATGATCAATATTGTCCAGCCAATAAAAGCTTTGGAAAAGGAATGACAAATCAGTGTTGTAAAAGCTGCTTACAAAAGTTTCCCCTCCCTCAACTGCACCGAGTCATCATCATCCTTCTTTTCAAGGATTGTTTTCTTACTTATAAATAAATACTTTATTTATTTAGAACAAGACCAAGCCTGTGAAGATGATGTACATGAGACATACATTTCCAGTTCTCATCATGGAAACAATGAATTTCAAAATGATTGAGTTGCCGTATGTGAAACATGAACTCAGTATGTTCATCCTCCTTCCCAATGACATCAAAGACAGCACTACGGGTCTTGAACAGGTAAAAAAGTATGCTACATCCATTTTGTGTCATCACCCACTCACTAAAAAAAAAAAAGGATAGTCTGGCAACCATATGTCCCCCTTTGAGGACATGCTGTTTGATCTCCTCCACTAGCTGAATTAATTTCCTTTATTAGTTATCTAATCCCAAGAAAGTTCCTCCACACTGAGTGCCCTTAGTTCATTAAGAATTGAAAACAGTCAACACTGCATAATCAGATGCTTAGCTCTCCAACAGCCCCATGACTGACACCCAATCCTACGTGATCTGTAGGGGTTGAATCTCCCTTCACTGCAGATTTGGGAGGGACAGTACTGCACAAGCTGCCACAGCCTCATCCTGAGATAACAGACACACCTTCTCCACAACCTGGAATTTTGTTCAACATCTTGTTCTCATTCTGTCTGCCCCCACCCCCCATTTGTTTGCTGTCTGAAAAACTAGAATTTTGGTGATATTGCATTTGCTACAATAATGAGATCTGCCACTGTAGTTACTACAGTTACAAGATTGTTAAATTCTTGGCATCTATCATGTCAAGAATGCCATTCATTGCTCTCCTCCATTTGATCTGAGCTGAACGCTGGTGACATAGTGGCCACCACATAGAGTGGCAGTGAAAGACTTCACTGGAAGCAGTTTGTTTTAAAACTGCCAAGGAAACGTGCAATATTAACACCTGTTTCTACGAGACTGGACCAAACCACCTTCTGCACAGCAGCCAACCTCCCAGCAATTTCCTTCAGATCAAGACTGAACTAAAAGAGAGGAAAGAACTACCTCAGGGGACGGCAGCTGCAAGTGTTGAGTGCCCTGTCTCTTTTGCAATTAATCTTGCAGGGGTGATGCTCAAAACTTTGCAGCATTACGTCTCAAATGCTTGTTGCACGCTGCCTCTGATGATCAGTAAAGCCAGTTTATATTTCATGCTTTCAGCTAAACGTTAAATTTGCCATTTAAAAACTGTCTAATTCATTGAATTGCCATAAAATTGACTGATAGTCAATGAATTGTTTTCTCCTTGAAAATATCAAATTCCTTCTCTTTCTTAAATGATAGCTGGAAAGAGAACTGACGTATGAGAAGCTGTCCGAATGGACTGATTCCAAGAAGATGACAAAAACTCTTGTGGATCTGTACCTACCTAAGTTCACAATGGAGGAGACATATGACCTCAGTAATAAGCTGAGCAGCATGGGGATGCGCACTGCCTTCACCAGCAATGCTGATTTCAGAGGAATGTCTGAAAAGGGTGATGTGCTGATCTCCAAAGTTTTGCACAAGTCTTTTGTTGCAGTTGATGAGAAAGGCACTGAGGCAGCTGCTGCTACTGTAATTACAGGAATAACAAGTGGACCTCCTGGCCATGCTCTGAAATTTAAGGCTGACCACCCCTTCCACTTCTTCATCAGACACAATCAATCCAAGAGCATTCTCTTTTTTGGCAGATTCTGCTCTCCCCCTGAATGAGCTTATTATTTGCTCCCAGACAGCACCGAAGGTTCACTGTTCAATGGAAAAATGTGACCTGCAGTGTAAAATGGTCAACCTTAAGCCATGTAGCCACATGTACTGAAAGTGTACATCCTTTTTCTTCCCCACCCCCGCCCCCCCAAGTAAGGCAGCACCCAGAGACCACCCTGTGCCTCAAAAACCACCCTTCTATTGCTCCTTTCCATTGTCCTAATGAGGGAGCCCTCCACATAAAACAGAGAGCAGAATTTTGCTCCCTTGTCTCAAATCTGCTCTTCTGGCTTTGTTGTTTGAGAGTAAGGTGGAGCTATAAAAGGTCTCTGCAAACAGGCCATCATCTAGCCCCATGCCAAATGCTGACTTCAAGGGAAATGCAGTTCATCCTCCTGAATCTCCTAGAGAGGAAAAAAAAAATCCCTGAAATAAAAAAAGAACTTGTAGAAATCCATATGTTCTCTTCTTCTCACTGGGAAACCTGCCTTGGCATTACAATGCAGTTTCCTTATGTTCATTTCAAATTTAAAGACTGTTGGAAATTAACAAAATCTAATACAAACCCAGAATAATCTTAAAATGCCCCTCACCTTCCCCTTTCTTACCATGTATATAAAGACACATTACATTCAATCTCTCCTGCCCTTGCAGCTTCATAAAGAAATGAGGGAGCGAGGGAAAATGGTTCAGCCCTTAACATTTAATCACCGACTTCTAATCACCTTTCATTTTTTCCTCATTTTTCTAAACTTTGTAGGTTAAGGTTGCTGAGAGTTCCAAGTAGCAAAAATGCAAAGAAAAGTATAAGCACCATGCTTCTTGCTACCTCTTATTGATATGTAATCTAAAACCTCAAGAATTCAAACCAGCTTCCTCATTTAATATACCAGTTTCCTGGCTAATATCTGCAGTTTCCTTGCTACCTGTATCATTGATCTATGCATGATTTATGTAATGATTTATAATGAATTATGTAACTTATGAGTGCATCGCAGCAAAGATAGTCATAGTATTGACAGAAACACCAGTGATTTTGACTGATGCTTCATAAATTTACTGTGATTTGCATTTAATCCAATAAATGACCTTGGAGTTGTGTTTGTGTTATTCAAGATAACCTTTTACCTGGTTCTCTTCGAGCCTCGTGTAAGGTGCATGGCTGGAGCGTGTTTCCATTCTTGCCATTCCTAATCAACCATCACATCATCCCGACTGACACCGCTGACACACTTAGCGTCTTATTGCCACTAAGCTTCAAACAGCTCCAAAACCACTGTTATTCAGCATGTTATGCTAGGCGGTTATTAAACATTCCAAACCAAATTAAACTCTGTAAGGAACAAGTTTTTGCTGAGTCAAGGCATCTGAACTTTTCTTTTTAAGCATTCAGTTTTCCATTTTTGACCACTGCTTATTGCACTATCACCCCCCCAATCCCCCTCCTTCCTAGGACCTACTCAGGAGGCTTTTTTTCCTGTCACAGCACACTAGAAATAAAAAGTCTGACTGGAGTCTGTAGCCCAGAAAAGCAGCTTCCAAACGTCCCTTTTGCCCATGTACAATAGTGAACAAGCAATGCTGCACTGGCAGCATCAGTTCTCTTCAATGGCTTGGGAGGGCAGCACTTGTGCTCTCCTGTGGCCATGAGGAAGAGCATCAAGTTTTGTAGCCATCATGGTACTCAGTGACAGCATGTCAGAGAGCATGAACTAAGGCAGGAAGACTTGAATGCAGGAGGGAGGTACTGTAAAAACATTTACTCTCAGCAAAATTCCACCTATAATTACAACTCACTCCACCTCCACAAAAGGTATTCTATTTGGAAATACATCTCCACCCAACAAAGTACACCTGCATCTTCTTCCCTGTACAAAGTACTCCTAAAATCAGTGCCCTCCCTTGCCTGTAACCCTCAGCTCAGGGTTCCGCTGTCTGTCACCCAGGACCTACGCTGGTGCAGCCCAGTTGTGTGCTACTAGTTCAGCTTTACTAAGAAGTTTGTTGTTTAGGTGTGGGAAAGTACACAAGTGAAAGCCATACAAAATAATAAAGTAAAAACAGAAACAGAAGTTATTATCAGGATGGAACAGTCAGCATAGCAAGGCTTGAGGAGGAGAAACACTTGCATGAGGAGGTATAAAATCTCAATAAAAAAAAAAAAAAAAGAAACATTGGAAGACAACAACTAGCAACATCCAGGCTGAGCCTCCTCTAGGGAGCAACAAAGACCAGCCCACCTCCACTTGAGTGATGCCTGGCCAGCAAAGACTCATTAGGTTGGTAAGCATGTTAATTCCTAGCCTTGTAGCCTGTTAATCCTATCTCTCTGATGTGTGTATTCAACAATAAGTCATTACTGGGAACTCCTAAATTATATACACCCAGTTTGAAGAGTCACTTCATGTAAAAACAAAAATTGCCCAAAGAGGTGGGAAGAATTCCATGCCAAATCAAATGAAAGGTCTTCCCATGCTGATTTTTGTTCATCCCCTCACTCATACCACACTGCAGGGCTCTGCAAAGCAATACTGCTGAGGCTCTCTCAGGAACTACAGCATGGTGTCCACCAGCTGCAAAGGGTCAAACAGGCTGGTTTTGGTACGAAGCTATGCCCAGTCCCAGCTCTGCTCGGGAGATGATGCCAAAAAGCACACCTTCCAGTGTAAGACATACTTGGGATGCAGGTGAAAAGGGTGAAAGAGAAGGAAAGGAAGACAACCAGGGGGGAACACTCTTTAGAGCTCAGCTACTGCAACCAACACTGGAAGTGCTTCTCTGTACTATTTTCATGGTAACCAGTGTCTGGCTCACCCTTACAGAATCACAGAATTGTTCAGGCTACAAGTGTCCACTTGAGATCACCTGGTCCAACCCCCTGCACAAGCAGGGTCAGCTACTGCACGTTGCACAGGACTGTGTTCAGCTGGGTTTTGAATATCTGCCTCCACCAATGGAGACCACACAATCTCTCCAGGTAATCCGCGCCAGTGTTTGACCATCCTCACAGCAAAAGAGTGTTTTGTTGTGTTCGGATTGAATTTATTGTTTTTAATTTGTGTCCATTGCCTCTTGTCCTCTCACTGGGCACTACTGATAAGAGTCTGGTTCCTTCTTCTTCATTACATTCTGTAAGGTATTTATGCACATAGATAATATCCCCCTGAGCTTTCTTTTCTCCACCCTGTAAGTCCCAACTCTCTCAGCCTCTCCTCATATGAAAGATGTCCCACTCCCTTCATCAACTTTGTGACCCTGTTCAGGGGGCCACAGTTGAGGGCTACACTGAAGAGCCCAGAACTGGACACAGCACTCCAGCCATGGTCTCATCAGGGCTGAGCAGAGGGACCTCACTCAGCCTGCTGGCAACACTCATCCTCATGCAGCCCACGATGCTGTTGGTCATCTTTGCTGTGAGGGTGCACTGCTGGCTCATGGTTAGCTTGTTGTCCACCAGGACCCCAAGGTCCTTCTCTTTAGAGTTGCTTTCCAGCCAGTTAGTCCCCAGTGTGTACTGATGCCTAGGGTTATTCCTTCCCAGATACAGAACTCTGCATTTCCCGTTGTTGAACTTCACAAGATTCCTCTCCTTCCAATTCTCCACTGGGTCCAGGTCCTTCTGAATGGCAGCACAACCCTCTGGTGTATCAGCCATTCCTGCCAGTTTTCTATCGTTTGCAAACTAGTTGAGGGTGCACTCTGATGCAGCATCCTGGCAATTAATGAAGATGCTAAACAGTACTGGCCCCAGTATTGACCTCTGGGGTACACCACTAGTGACTTGACTCCAACTGGACTTTGGGCCAGCTCTGTGCATCCCAGCTGCTCTCTCACACAAAGGGCAACTCCCCCTCTTTGCCTTCCTGGCCTGCCCTTCCCGAAAAGCCTGTAACCCTCTACTGCAGCACTCCAGACCTGTGACCTATCCCACCATATCTCTGTGACCCCAATGAGGTGATAGCCCTGTAACCCCACATGAACTTCTAATGGCTCTTCTCTGTTGCCCATGCTGCCTGCACTAGTGTAGTGGCACTTCAGAGAGGCACTCCAGTGTGCTGATTTCCCTGTACAGAGTTGAGAGGTTTTCCCTCAAGGCTCTTCTGCAGGCACGTCATTCTTTACATACCTATGCTTGAAGTGATTCCATTTTAGCTGTTTTGTTGATTGCTATGTCCCTCCTGTTCCCATCACCTGAGAACACTGGCATTCTACCATATTCACAACCTCCTTTTTTACTGAGGAATCACTCACTCCCCCGTCCATTTCTAGTTGAAAGCTCTGTTTAGCAGGTTGGCCAGCCTCTTGATGAAGATACTTTTTCCTGTTCAGTCAGGTGGATCCTTTATCTTTCAAGCAGCTGGTGAACCTCAAAGAGGTCCCATGGCCATAGAAACTGAATTCCTCCTGCCAACAACAGCAGTGCAATGAATTGTTAACCCACAGGTTCTATCAAATCCTCCTCAGGTCCATGCACCCCACCAGCAGGATTGAGGAGAGCCACCTTGGTCCCCATGCCCTTGACCACTTCCCCCAGAGCCCTGTAGTCACGCTTCATACTTCCTAGGTCACCCCTGGTAGTTTCATTTGTGACTACATGGAAGAGCAGCAGGGAGAGGGACAGATGAGCCTCAGTAGCCTCTCCACAACATCCCGAATGTGTGCCCCTACCAAGTAGCAAATCTACACGAATGACAAATTAGGTCAACAGATGTGGGTCCCAACCCCTGCAGTTAATTTCACTCCTCACAATTGTTAATGCTCTTTGAGATCTGGAAGGTACATCTGCCAGTGCTGGAAGTTAAGAAAAGTTGCAAGTCTTTTAGTTTCCATGGTTTCACAATTATTACCCCCTGTTAGGTTGGGATGCCACACTTGCATACAGCAAAGGAGGCAGTCCTGGGAATTTGAATTTCCAGTGCAATGTGATTGCTTGCTGTTGTTGTTCCAGAAGGCCTGGGGTCTCCTGGAGGTGACAGGCTGACTGGCAACAGGTTTGGATGGGGGAAGGGAGGAGAAGACAGATCTAGAGCAAAGCAGTTCCTATGTCATGTACAGGTCATAGTGTTCCAGTGCTCCTCTCAGCAACGACTCTCCCAAGCACTGTCCCTTCTCTCCTGTCTGTCACAAAGGTTGGCTTGATGCTTTCAAAAGACAGTTCCATTTTATTCTTCCATAATGGGGAAAATGTTATTTAATCACTTTTCTAAAATACTCTAAGGTAGCCAAGTAATAGGTGCTACATGACTGCATTTCCAGATGAAGCCTGGGTTTGTTTTGTATCATCAAAACTTGTAACTTCAGGTCCACAAACTCCTCCTTGAAAGGTCCCAGGACTTTGAAAACTATAGAAAGAAGCAGTTACAGGAAACTTCTGAAATAAGCCTCAATACAAACACGATGTGAGCATGGACTGCTTGTCATTTAGCGATTCCATGCCTGTCAAAACACAGTAGATTAACATGCTTTCAGTTTATCCTACAATGAAAGATGGGGCTTTTTTTCTACCAATGCAGATCTCAGCTTCATAAAATAATCCCTGGTACCTCTGTGGTAGATTGACCTCATGACAAGCAGAAATGGCAGACACAGCACACAATAACAAAGACAAGAAAGTTTGCAGTGCTGGTGTAGTATTAGTATTCAAGACAAGGACACATAAAACCCTCCTGCTTTAGAACTGAAATGCAATATTTTTAAATGTTTCATTTTGCCATCAGTAACAGGCACAAGAATATCCCTTCTAAAATCCTTTAGAGTTCTGTTGCAACATATGTGATACTTGGTCTCATTTTCCTCCCTGGAGGACACAGCTGAATGGGATTTCCTGCAGAGTGAAAATCTGCAATTGGATTTAGTCTGGCACTGATTCTAAGTTGTGCTGCTTTTTACCTGATGTCACTGAAAGAGAACTGATCTTCAGGAAATGGTCAAACAGTCCACTCAGAGTGGGCTATTTACAAAGTAAGGTATGGGAGTCTGACAATCAGGCAGAAACATACAACCCGGCATCCATGATGAGCAAGATGGGTATGAAAGATGGCTTCAAAAAAGGTCAAAATTTCTTCATCAGTTTGCTGGAAGAAAATGACT